CTTTTCCAGCAGCGATGCCGAGTGAAATGGCCACCATGATCAGTGGAAGACCTACCCATATAGAAAGGAAGGAAATCGAAACACCTTACTGCATGACAACACTAGATTTGGCGATCCGAAAGCATGGTGATAGTTACAAGTGCATGTTTTAAAGTAAAAAAAACTAACCCCATGAGATGACATGATACATGTACATCTTGGTGTTAATGTTGTAAACTTTCACGACGAAGAGGTAGAGATAAATTCCCTCGATCAGCATCCAACAGAAAGCAGCCATCAAGAAATACTGCATCAGAGCTGCTACTGTAACACAGGCAGCCTGTGAAAAGAAAGAGTTTTCGTATACTTCTTAACGGTGCAAAGAGTAAACTCATTCTATAGACAGAAGGAGAGGCCACTGGCGAGGCCTTCCGGCGAGGAAGATGATCTGTCCAGCTCCAAGGGACGCAGAAACACTCAGTCGAATTTAAGAGAGAGGTTGACAAAGATCTCTGATGAAATAATAGTAAAAAAAAAAGAAAATAACGAATTAGACAAAAGCAAAAACGACAATAACAGCAACATACTGAAGACATGATTTGGTCAAACGTTCGTGATGGGGCATGAAATGTAGCTTGAATTGGTGAATTATCCAACATGCATGTTCTTGTTTGCGTGGAGAGTTGCATTGAGATCTCTCTTCTCTCCAGCCGTGTTAAGGAGAGTTAAGAATCTACCTCATTATTATTCAGGTACATTACTTACGTGAGCAAAGAATAAAGTATTAATGTTAAAAGTATCCCGACGATGGAAAGGCTCAGTCCCGCGTAGGTGATAATTTTCAGAATTGTTTCGTCCTCCTCGGTGAGCTGTGTCAAAAAAAGAAAAATTTAATGACAATATTAAGTTAGTTCATTGAGCCCATAAAATTATTGAGTAAGGCAAAAATAATTTTGTTACCTTTTTGCTACCGTCGTAGTCCATTAAGACGGCAAAATGCGTCAAATGACTGCAGCTGCAGATTGTTTTGTCTGAGTTGCTCTTTGATGTAACTACATGGCATCCTTCCTCTGAAAAGCTGTCGGACATGAAAAAAAAGTAAAGTTAAAAAATTTTCATAGTTTGGGGAAGAGGTGATTGACAATTTTGCGCTAAGGAGTCAAGTGATCATCTGCGCGAAAACATCTGAGAAAGTTCATTCACTACTCCCCCATACTTAATTTAAATTAAGAAGAAATAAACACAATACAATAAAATATTGTAGTTTTTTTACCTTTTGTTGAGGCCACTCCAAAACATACAGCGCTTCTCCGCTGTCAAGACGTGAAAATTGATTTTATCTTGTCAGAATAAATCAAAACAACTTATAACAACTAATTTTCATGTTACCTTCAGGTTTTTGAACTTTAGGATGACATTTTCTCGCAATGTCTCTGGCTTGGGGTCCATAGTAACGGCCATTATCCTGGAGTTGATATACCTATGAAGAAATTGTATTTGAAAATGGACTGGAACCAGGGAAGCCATATTACATATCTTTTGTAGATTCAAGCCGATTTTTCATGAAGTGGAATGGTTAGAGACAAGCAGGGAGTCTTCCAACCCTAGTTAGGGTTTTTGGAAAGTGTGTCAGTTCAGTTTAGTTGAACTTAGATCTTATGTGTTTCCGTGTTATGTGTTTTTGGAGGTAAACGACATGGAGTAATATGAAAATAACGACACCTTTGGTAGTCTGTTTCACTTCTTAAGGCTTGATCCGTCAGAAGTAGGTCATGCAGATCCTTGAACACGCACGCAACCACCATTGATCCTTTCAATCCCCATGGATCAACAAGAAAAAAACAAAATTGAAATTTTTATCTGGTTCTGAGGTATGTGACATTTTAGGGAAGGCGAATGATTAAAGAAGATAAATTATGTAAGCTAAGGAGACGCATTTATATGAGGCTTTATTCCAACACAGAAATTTCGATCGGAGAAACCAAGGTAATACTAAAAGTTGTAAAGTTACCACAATAGTTCATACAAACCATTTTCCACAAAATTTGAAGAAGCGATATCGATTCTCGCTGGCCATTGTTGTTCCTCAAAGTGGAAGACACTTGCATGCTGGCGATAAGCTTTTTGAATGACCAAAACTGTCGGGAAAAAAACGACAAATGAAAGCACTTACGGCGAAATTTGCAATAGAACATCTACACAAATATGCGTTTTGCGATGTACACAAATATTTCATCATCGTATTGGATTGACGTGTATTGTTTGTATCTTTTTTGCCCTTCAACGACTATTCGACGATTTCAACCATTTATAAAACGTTATTCCAATGTAAAACTGATGAAAAAGTGAGTTGTAGTGGACGGACTAAAAATTTTCAAAACTCAATTCGTTCCTCGAACCGTTTCGTTGGAGAACTATAGAGTTCATCAGGGAACTTTTACGAGTAGGGTTAAAAATCTTGCATTTATATGCATCGCAGACGATAGGCCAATTTTGAGCTTAGTCTATACTATGAAGTAAGCGAAAAGTATTTGTAAGATTTGGCAATTTAGTGAAGTGTTACTCACCAATCTATTATTTAAGAAAAGTTTCAATAAACAGAGCGAGACGAAGGGTTTCACAATTTAAAGGATTCCGATTCTCTCTTGTTGATTGTTCAAGAATACCTTGAATTTCCTTCCCCACCGTGAAAAATCAAAGTATCAAACAAATTAAAAGAACAGATCAATCGATGACATCCAACAATAGCGTTTCTAAAAAGATGGGTATATAACTGAGTTCTAACATTATCTAGCTATAGGGAATTAGACACTCATTCGGTCAGTCAGCGTGTCAGTAAGTAACAAAGGAATAGACTTTGAAACTAAACGGGATTGAGTGCCGCAACCTCAGCCATTTTTGGGGAAACAATCCTTTCTGAAGGTTTCAATCCACTCTGGTGTCGCTTGCTATAATTAAGAGCAAATTTTTCAACGGCCTCTGCCACCTCAAAGATGGATTTTTCCAGTGTTTTAACCTCTTCTATGCCGTCCTTGTCTTTTGTGACGTTCTTGATTTTTAAGATGAAATCTTCCAACACAGCTACCGCCTCCTACAATTACATAAAATATTTCCATGACATTGACTAGCCATTCTCATAAATACAATTCATATCAAAGATGCGGAAAAAGTCCAGCAGGAGGCCCCAAATGGTGTTCAGGGTATTCATTGGCCAAAGAACTCTTTTAGGAGACTGGATTATTTTTTAAGCCTCACCATCCTTACCTCATATGGCTTGAATGGTGGTTTATCCTTAAAGATTATATATTTATAGATTATTTCACGGTTGGTGAGCGCTATGATATTTACACAACGAGTGAATAAAAATCGTACCAGCGAACTAACTATATACATACCGAGATTGAAAGGCGAACAGAACTCAAAGATAAACATATCTTTATCTTCTTTCGAAGGAAAACAACGCGTGGTCAAGCCACCTCACAGTTCTCGTCTCGCCTTTCAAAACAAGAAATTAGTGGAAGAGAGCAACATCGTGTTTGCTCTTTTTCTTGGTGTTTTCATTTTCCTGTCCGTCTATGAACTCTTCTACTGACGAATCTAGGCTCTGAAAATGGTCAGTCTGATTTGAAGCCATCTTTCCAAAGAAAAAATGCGCCTAAGCTCTTAGAATGTGCTATTTGTCAGTCAAGAGGAACGGCGAGTGAGCGACACGGTTTTGTTCACCAGTGAAAATAATGATACAGCCATTGAGAGCGTCGATACGTCGTTTTTCATTGGTAAAAAAATCGTAATACCAATCAGCTGGCTTCTCTAGCGCGAAGAGACTATTTTTATCTCGATGCCTTTTGGCGCGTAAATCTTGCTATGTACATAATAATTAATTTTTATCGTTTATATATCAAAGTTAAAAAGCCGTTAAGTTATGAACATTGGATACCTGTATGGAACTCTTTCTGGTAATATTTATTCCGCGTAATTTTGAAACATACTCCTTTGCCTAGAATTAAAAAAAAATGTGTGTCACCGAGAAGATCCTGAAAAGTGACATGCATAAAAACGGAAAGCGAGGGCGAGGGCGAGGGCGAGGGCGAGGGCGAGGGCGAGGGCGAGGGCGAGGGCGAGGGCGAGGGCGAGGGCGAGGGCGAGGGCGAGGGCGAGGGCGAGGGCGAGGGCGAGGGCGAGGGCGAGGGCGAGGGCGAGGGCGAGGGCGAGGGCGAGGGCGAGGGCGAGGGCGAGGGCGAGGGCGAGGGCGAGGGCGAGGGCGAGGGCGAGGGCGAGGGCGAGGGCGAGGGCGAGGGCGAGGGCGAGGGCGAGGGCGAGGGCGAGGGCGAGGGCGAGGGCGAGGGCGAGGGCGAGGGCGAGGGCGAGGGCGAGGGCGAGGGCGAGGGCGAGGGCGAGGGCGAGGGCGAGGGCGAGGGCGAGGGCGAGGGCGAGGGCGAGGGCGAGGGCGAGGGCGAGGGCGAAGGCGAGGGTAGATATTGATAAACATCAAGATTATATCACAAGATAAAATTACCTAAGTATTACACTTGAGGGCAAAAATGCGGACGGAAAGCAGAGTAACTAAATGGCCGGTATTAAAGATCAAAACTCTTAAATCCACTCGATAAATTATGGCATGTAAACCTTCGGGTGCTGTTGTTTGTGCTTCAAAGTATCGTTTACGATCAAATGAAAAAAAAATAGTCAAATAGCTAGATTACAGGCAGCTATAATCAAGGATTGTCGTTTGGGAAAATATAGAGTGCAGTAAATATCAGCTCATATTTGTGACGCGGAGGAGGTTCTGTCGAAGCCATCTCTTTCCTGGCTGAAAAAAGACTGCCTCGCTGTTTCACGCATCGGCTCTGCGTGTGTTTGTTTTAGTCGGAAGACAGTGCTTCCGGTTTATAAAATAATTCATTTTGATTGGTTACCTGTTCATTATCTATTACAACTAATCAGGGGGTGTTTTGCTTTTCAACATTCTCCTCAGGCAGGGGTCTTCCCGCCCTTCCCCCGCCCCTTACGGGGCACGTATCTTAACCGACATGAGTCATTAGATCTTCACAAAAGATAGCAAACTTCACATCATCATGCACTATTATCTAACAAAACAATTGGACTGATGATTCTTTGCAATTAGTATTTACCATCATTTTATTCAATCGAAAGGATAAATTAACTACATGAAAATAACTGATAACTGAAAGTTTTATAACTGTTGTTACTCGCAATACTGATAGTAACAGAACCATCTGTACCTTTCCTCTGCTTACAAGGTTTAAAACTAGACATGTTTGTCGTGAAAACGTTCTCTGAGATTGTTTCAAACATATTTTCATCCATGCAAATGTAAGGGCAAACTCGATCCCGAGAGGGTTTATATAAAGGGTCAGAAGGTTTATATAAATTCTGTCGTGAGTATCACAAACGTTCGCAAAGAATGTTTTTATTACGCCTAAGCGTTTCTGATGCCTTTTAGTTTACTGAAAATAATATTAAAAAAAAAAACTTACCCTTGGAAATCTCACAAATATAAGCTTGTTGGTTTCCCCAACGTGTACGATTAACACTACCAAACACGCCCCGCTCGCCATTATTGTTCAGCTTGTACATGAAAGCCGCGTCGTGTTCACTACTTGGCTCCCCTATTCCCCATTTGCAAATAGTCAGTGGTCTTCCATTTATCCAAGTCCAATTCCCGGCCTTTTTTTTTAAACCAATACTCCATTTATTTTCATAGTTCGTTGTATTTCGCCCTTGAATCTGGTTATTGATGAAATTCCATTCTTCTTCGGTTTCGATGGAAATTAGGTCCCCTCCTTGGATTTTGCAAACGATTCTGTTCCACTTCCAGGACCATCCATATACCGGAATTATGTACCAAAAGTTTTTAAAAGTTATATCTGGGCATTCTACAAAATGATGAAGATGACAACAAAAATACTAATTATCACAATGATAATAAACAAAGTAATAATTACAATAATCATGATAACATAAAAAATTATAATCACAATAACAATAAAGGAGGAAAATAAATGAGATAGAAAATGTGGCTATATAAATAAAATAAATTATAAAATCTGCAGTTTATGTTTGATCGGTGTCAATTAATACAATACATCTTTCTTCACTATGGCGTCCGCCATCTCTGACCTGCCTTTCTGAATTAGTTAATTTCTCAGCAGGTAAGATTATCTGTGAGTTCACGTAATTTTGGTAGTTGAGATTTTGAATATAAAATAGTTCTTCGTTGAGCTGACACTTCCCCCTCCCCCTTCCCCGCCCCCTTTTCTTCCTTCTTCCCCTCCCATCTGAGCAGACTTCGAAAAAACGTAAAGTTTTCATAAATGTCCAACTGTAGATTCGCAGTTAATCTTACACAGTTGTTACGGGAAAGTTTGTCAGAAAAAAGAGCAAAAATTTAAAGAGCACGGGACAATTTCAAAAGATTATTAAAAGTTGTGAAACGCACAATTTCGATCGCTGTTCTTCCAGCTGCAGCCGATGCAAAGAAGGATAATAGTAGAGTGATCAGTTTTTCTTTTGAAACATGTGTCCCGGAAACTTTCATGGGCATTATGTTCAATAATAACCCGCGTTTAAAAGTTCTTTCGTCTCTCACACGTACAAGTTTAGTGGGGTGAGCATATTCTGTGAACAATATTTTTACTTTTCAGAAGCAAGAGCAATTTTCATGACACAAGTGCAAGACTGTAATGTTTCAGCACATTATATAATTTACGGTTGGAATGTGATCTTACCTCCGGGCGTCTCGCAAATGTAGGCATTTCTACTTAACGTAGACAGGATACCATTAAAGAAGCCTCCATTCTTATATATTTCCGCCCTTATGTCTTCCCCATCTGGCTCAGAATCTCGCCATTTCGAAATATTCAGTTGTTCTCCACTCACCCAAGTCCAAACCCCACCTTTCTTCCCTAAACCAATGTAACACGCACCGGTAGTCCAAGTATCACGTTTTTTAATCTCACCATTGATGAACTGCCATTCTTCTTAAGTTTCGATGGAGACTAAATAACCTCCCTGCCTGGAGCAGATATTCCTGTTGCACACTGAAGCAAAAATTAGAATTAGGCACCGTTTTACAGGTGGAAATTGTGGATATCAGGGTAGTAGCACCGTTATTCCTTGACCTTTTTGTTTTGATCTCCAACTTACGTTTTAAATCACAATCCGATGTAATTCTAGCAGGAAGTCTATGACTAATTATTAGTATAATCTGTCAGATATTATCGTTTTTTTCCCGTTCATTTTAAGGCGCATAAATGTTAATATTGGAATTACACTGCCTAACCTGTTCCTAGCAAATCCATCAACAAATGAAGGATGACTGTATGAGAGAAAAATAAGCAATAAGTTAATTCAAGTCTAACATTTGAGACAATGAAAAAGTTTATTAGATTTTGAGTTAGACGGTGCTAATGCATTTAATTTGCTACATGCCTTTTGATATGTACCCATGAAATTTATTACCTTCCTGGGGAGCAAACGGAGAAATTTTAAATCCAAAATGTTTTAGCTCGCAGCAATACGAAAGGACAATGTTTCTCTGAGCAAATTACTCCGGCATCTTTTGGTCTCCAAAGTTATGTGAGAATTTTTCCATTTTCTTGGGTGTTACTGCGGAACCCATATTTATATATATATATATATATATATATATATATATATATATATATATATATATATAATATATATATAAGTTCAGTAGGAGTAAGAATTGAAATAATTATTTCACAAATTGAAAGTTCATTTCGACGATGTCATAGCTACCGCAGAACAAATAGGAATAACTAGGATTTTACTTACCCAGCACACAACATATTAAAAGGGTGTTGAAAATTTTGCCGAATTCACTGCCATTTACCATCCACTTCATCATGCCCGAGATAATCAAAGGTTGCTGTTAAGAGTTGTCTTTACCAGGCTTATATTTGATTCATCCCGCTAGAGAGTTACGAACTTGCAGCATCCCCATAAAACCCTTTCGTAAGAGTTTAAGTTTAATGCCAATCATGATCTCTGATCACATGTTCATGGCGCTAGTTTCCATTTTTATTGCTGTCATAGACGAACCAATAGACAAAAAGAAGGCTGCACCAGATGTAGAGCATTGTTTTTCTAATAAATCGGAAACCTTCACGGCATTTAAATACTTTTTGTAGTTCATGTTTTGAAAAGAAGCAGCTAAAAATAATTGATGTTAAGAATGGTAGTTTCTTTAGGAGCTCTGCTAAATGAAAGTTGTCTTAAACAAACTCTTGTTTTATCAACCAGCAGCTAAAGCTAGTATGTCATCTGATCGTATGCATAAATGGAAATGATAGCTATTTATTCATCTCGCCTATGACATGCTGCACGTTTGTAGGTCTAATTACTTCGTAGGCCTTCAACTTTGATGGACTAACTCACTCATGTGTTAATTAACATGTATTATTACTTTCATAACACGGCAAACTCCGAATCAAAGGATTTCTTCTCGGTTTTCTTAGATCATAAGTTCGATGTCAATTTACATAAAGTGGATCGTTAATTGATTAGAAAACCAACGGAGGCTAACGGCCATAGTTTAATGTTCAGCCTCCAAAACAACTCTCCCCTGCAAAGCGTCATGCAAACCATAATTTTTGTGTCCAAATGTTTGAATTCCAACATTTTAAGGAGGAGCGGTGGGCTCAAAAGCTCTTAGTGCGAGACGTTCTTGAGTCATTGTGATGTGCGCTGTGAGCGAGACATTCTACCCTCCTAATAGCTCCCCACGCTCATGGAAAAATTGATTATTTATCCTGGCATATTCCCTAGTCCTTGCTGCGATATGTTTAGCCAATCGAAGCTTGACGCGTTTCGACCTATCGCATTTGAGCGGTGTAGAGAGAAATGTACTTGTATATTCCAGAATAATTCTTTTTTTTTTTTTTACTTCTTCCGTCTTAATCGTACGCTTCGTTATCCATATTTATTTATAAATGGGTATGACGTAACCTAAACCGTTGTAAACTGTTAGGCATATCTACATAATTGACTTCTTCTCTTGCTTGTTGAAATTCCTCTTCAATGCTAAGTCTCCGCTGTAGTGATATCTGAAAACCAGACTCTGCCGGAAATATTCCGCATTTCTATCGCTAAGCTTTTTCATTTAAATTTTATACTCTGTGTAAAAGTTCTTTAATCGTTGTTGAATGATGTGTGCCGAATAGTTTATAATCTCTTGGTTTATGACAATTCCGCCTAACATCGCTCCAATTTAATTCCAAATTAATCGATGTGTTTTCGATTCAAAACGATACTCCTTATCTTTAGGATGCCAAAAAGAAAATGGCTAAGTGTAACTAATCCACAAAAGATCCAGTCATAAGTAAGCTCAGAAAGTTAGCGCGCAAGAATCGAAAGAGAAATACATTCAATTAGAACTGCGTGCTAGAGTGCTTCTTAAAGAATATTGCTGTTAACTAAGTGATTGCACTAAGTAATTGACGGTCATTTCCGGTTGGCTGGATACGGTTATTTAAGTTAAGTGCGATCACAAGACTGCAATTCAATTGCCCATACATCCCCAACCTCATTTGGATTGACCTGTGAGCTCTTCCTTGTGGAGTTGTTCTTTATAGAAGATGGAAAAACGATATTCATCTTTCTTTTGAAACGCTCTCTGATCTGCAGATAGCCGAGCTACACGAAATACGGTTCTTAGCACTAGTACTCGGATATTTATCGAAACACTAAAGATTGATGATATGGAGTTAATCAGTGAGTGTTTACCTGAGTGTTTCGCATGCCATGTAGAGCGAAAATCAGGAAACCCTGCAGCATAAAAATGATTTCAAGATCATTCATTTTTACAATATGCAAACAAATTAATCAAATACCTATTAAGTTTTCCAAGAAGGAAAGGAAATTGCATACCTCACAAATGAAGAAGAAATCTGTCTTATCTAGCATATTTAACAACCTTTTGTTTCAAAATTCCAAAAAAATATTATGTGACCATTGTAACGGTGTCACACACACTGACCTGAGTAGAGTTACTTGACAACAAGAATGGGAATCATCACCACGCATGCTTTGATGCCCATACTAAGAGTTAAAAGAAAACATTCCTTTAGTTTTCTTTAACAATTAATTTTCATTTTTAGATATCGTAAGGCCTTACTGATCAAGAAATGAGGAAGTTGGGCGAATAGAGCCTAATAGGAGGACATGGTAGCCTCTTCCATATTTTTTTTAGTTTTATGTTGTAAATCTTACCGTATTTGCTGAAAATGGTTGTCTTCCCCAGTTGACCGCAACAAATTGGTCATCTCCTCTATGACTCGTACCAGTATCAAGATGTTGAGCTGAAGAATACAATTAGAATAAATTGATTATTCAGATATGATTATCGAATAGCGAAAGCAGGAGAGGATCCTTGCCAGAGAGTAGTTTACAGGGAATAGAAATCCCAACAGGGGGACCTAGACTACGAGCTTTGATTATCTGACAAAGTGCGAAAGAAATCGCGAACTTAAGTTTCTAAACTGAATGAAAAATTTAGATCTAATACTCTTACTGCCCCTTTCATCTTGTTCAATGTTTTTTTTTATGAGTTATTTGTGCGCGAAAAAAAATATCTTGGTACATCAATGTGAAACAGTAAGAAAACATCAACGAGGAAGGACAAGAATCTTTTTCTCATACTATGTAGTTAAAGTTGGAGAGTTTATGAAGCTACCTTTTGCCTGTGAAGACATTGTCTTAACAGGTTTTACTCGCTATTGAAGGCCATCACTAGGTTAGAATTGACCAGTATCCTTGCAAACAGCAGCCACGTCCAAAGTTTGTTGTGAGAAAATAAGAAAAGGATAGGAGAAGGAAATTTGTAAATATTGTGTGGGGTCATATTACAAAAACTTAATTCGTTTTTAAAAGAGCAGAGAAAAAAATCTTTATCAGCAAGTAGTCCAGGTATACCAATCACAATCACCGACACTAATCATAAACCCACAACTTCAATGAAAGTCACAAAGGCGACGAATATCCAGATCAGGTTGTAAGTTGTGGAAAGCCAGCAGCTAAACTCGAAGAAGAGAAACACAAGAGCAAAAAAAGAATTCTCAGCAAATGAAAAGATGCCGACTTCAAACTATACGCAAAAACAAAACAAAATATGAATAGATAATTTCACAGCAGCTAAGATTATCTGGGAGTTCATGTAATTTCGGTAGTTGAGTTTTTGAATATCAGTTAGCTCCTCGTTGAGCTGACACTTCCCCCGTCCCTATACTTCCTTCTTCCTCTCCCTTAACTTTCCCGGAAATCCTGAGGTCAAGTCTACCATGACCTAAAAGCTACCCGCAATACCTTTCTTTTCCCAGAGGGCGCAGTCACGAATTCTGTAATCGAACTGGCCATTAATGCGGTCCGGATTCTCCTATCACGTTATCGCTTGCGCAAGCCCCGCACTACATGCCTAACTTTGTTGCCATTTTTCGTAAATACTTTTCGTTTTGCCGGCTGGGCAGTATTTTTAAGCAAAATATTAATTGTTTGAAAGAAAATCAAGGCGATTAACAACTTATTGATCCTCAATTTCTCTCTCTCAAATCACTTTGGTTGCCAGCCAAAAATTTGGTTTGGAAATGAATTTTGGTAGCAACTATGTCATTAAATGGGTTGACTCACGACCTAAAAACCGTTTGTGATTAACCTAAACCTTTAGTAGAAGTAGCTCAGAGAGTTAAATTGTGAGGTATTTCTTCATAATTGAAATTAGTGGTGGAAATTTCATTTATTATATATCTGAATATCTCAAAGAAGTTGTTCATTGAAAACCAGTGAGCGAAGTCTCCTATGCTTTAAATACGCTTTCGGTAAGTCGTTGTAAGTCCGTTCAAATCGGGCACTGATACCGTAAATTTTGCAACAGAAAACGAAGAAATTCAACGATAAAAAGCTGCATTAAAATTCCCATTTTGATGAAAGACCAGAGTTACTCGCGTAATTGCTCCAAACAAACGAGAGCAAACTCCCACAACCTCAAAACATACTTTTAAATTTACTTACAATTACTTTTCACTTAAGTTTGTTTGCCAAACCAGCGCCGTTGTTGTTGTTGTCGTTGTTCTTTTTTCTTAAGCGTCCTCTCATTGACAGGTGTCAGATTGTGACAGATACTTGTGAAACAAATGTTTCAAAGTTTGTTTCTAGAAGCCTTTTAAATCACTTTTAACAATACACAAACAAAATATTTCGTTGAAGCCTCTCTTTACTTTGCATTACCTCAGTCTGTTTCAACTACCATTTACTCGCTCAAAATTTGTTTAGTTCATGGAAGATCTTGCCGTAATTACAGCACTAACTCATTAGGGTTCTTTTGGAAAACATTTCGTTGAGCGTAGTAAAAACTGTTACTCACCAGCCTAGGTCGGTCCGTATTGGGAAAAACTGTACACTCTGTCTAAAATACGCAGCCACACACTCATTGGCTGCTATTGGCAGTCAACTTTCTACAGTCCCTTGTTTATACTCTCTGCAACCCCCCCCCCCCCCCCTCCACCCCCTTTATACTCTTGAAGAAATACTACTTGCGGTGAAACCACTTGACTGCCCCTTGTGGATTCACTTTAGTTTTGAATATTGTTGGCATCATTTCTATGATCAATAAGGCTGCAGACCCAGGAGAATTGTGTTTGATGTTTGATTTGTAAAATATCACCTTGAGAAATATCAAAACAAAAACAAAAAAGCCGAGTATTAAAAACGTACAATTGCACTTGATTCCTTCATATCCATACCTTCAAGTACTTCATAAACTGAAACTCTATTCCCAGTTTGAAGGAGAATCTAAGAAATTAATTATGCTGATTTGCTTTCCTGGTCAATTTTTTTTCATTTATCACTTTGATAAAGTACTTTTACTGAAGTACATAACCTTAACCTTTTAACTCCCAAGATTTTATTAGTAATTCTCGTTACTGTCTGCCATACAGTTCTTGTGATGTTAGTTTGGAGAATTTGGTATTGGATCAACTTAAAATCATGATCCCCTAATTGATATTTTACTTTATTCTCATCTGACTTGTCTGCTTGATATTGTATTGATATTGTAAGGATAAAATCCGTACAGTAAATGGTTTGAATCCGGTGGTAACATGTAATAGTGTAGTTTGATCATTCGGGTGAGAGAAGTCCTGAGAAGGACTGTTGTCGGTGGTGGTGACTGACGTTTTGACAACCTGAGGTAAGCCCTTACGACAACTCACTACGGACAGCAGTTTACAGGAAACCGACACATACCGACAGATTACTGGAAGAGTCATTCTACAACCCGACATCACACAAAGCCACAACTATCAGGACTCTCACGCGACGAGCGTAACTAGTATGCAACACGACTGACAGCTTCTGCACTAACCTAGTCTATAGAACGACATACAGCAAAACAGCAATTCATGGAGAATATTGGATTATGGCCTGAGTGTAACGCCATAACGCCACTTTATTAAAGCAGATACTAATAACGTCTACAAAAAGAGAGACTGAAAATGTAAAATAGAGAAAGCCGTGCCGGGGGGGGGGGCAAACCCTGTGGGGAAAAACGGATAGGAAATCTGGGGCGGGCCAGGCACGACTTAGTCCCCCGCCGAGACTACTAATTAAATAATTTATCGTAAGCAAACGAAATCCGAAACTAAAGAGCAATAGATCAAGCAACTTTTAAGTGATCATTAACAGTGTGCTTAATGTATCTGTTCTTTGGAATGGCACATTTCCAGCCGGCGTGCTCGTCCAGCAGATCAGCAGAAATACTCTTACACGCAGGATTTGAAGCGGCGCCAGACTTGATACTATGCGTGCCGTAACTAGCGATGTCATCTACAAATGGCTTAACGTATTTCCTAAATTCCTCTCTCCAAGCGTTGTGTATGAAACGTCTTTAGTAGCATGAAAATACTCCTTAGACTTAGATTTAACAATTCGTCTAACGAGGAGGGAGGATGACTCAGTAGATGAAGGAAGAAGCTTGAGTAACCTCTCCGTAATGGAAACCGGGCAAGTAGCCTTATGAGACCTTGCTAGGAGGGATGTATGCACCTCCCTATACTGATCATTCTTGCGTTTCAGAACGAAAACTGACATGTATTCACTGGAAATAGAGACATCTTTAACAGACAAAGTACGAATTTCACCCATACGGTAAAACCCAGCGAGGCCAACCAAGAGAATGAAAAGAAAACGAATAACATCGAGAGAACTACTAGAAATATAATGATCAGCGATCCTACAAACTGTGTCGACGGATAAAGGCTCTTTGGGCTGAACGGGACATGCAAGTTTCCTTCTAGCGCCCTCTAAGGATGACTTAACAAGGGGGTGACTAGTAGGACATTCTACTATCCCGGCCAGACTATGAGCCCACTTAATGCCGTAAAGAACTGATTCTATAGAAGATGTTCCCGTATTATTGCTAACTGAATTTACAGTAAGCTCGCTAATAAAGAGCGCGACATTGACGCCACATCAGCCAGCCAGATCTGTATTTCTGCACGGTGGAAGGAGCCCTAGACTCCAACCGTAAATGTAGAAGGTTTGGAACAAGCCTACGCAAAGATATCTCGACCAGACAATTTGCGTCACGCTAAATCCCCGATTGCAGAACGAAAAATAAGAAATAAAATAAGAGTAAGCAAAAAAAAAAGGTAGAATAACAAAAAAAGAGATACATAATACAAACAGAAAATGAGATGCCACAAAAACCATCTTCAATAAAACACAATAAAATAGCAAACGCGGCGCAAAAACAATTTAGCCCAGAACATGTACGGTCAAAACGACGATGCCAAATCAGGAAAAAGGTGCAAAACAAACGGAGGTCAAACTACCGACCAAAATGACACTGCCAAATCAGGCAAAACACAACGGGGCTAGCCTAAAAGATCAGCAATGACAAGGTGAGGAGTAGAGCTGAAAGAAAAGAGACGTGCATTGTAAACAAGGATGACAAAAGCTCACCTAAAATCAACCCGTAAGGCTAACATTATGAATCTCAGGCAACCACTGAAAACCGAGGGACGCGCCTTGTAAATTTGCCTCTGGCCGGGACCTTCCAACAAGAGGTCTTCTATACAAGGAAGCTCAAACACTCCCTTAACAGAAGACCTGAACTGAGAAGAGCTGTCATGCAAAAAGGGCCAAAAATGGGCCGAAGGCCACTGTGCGACAATCAAAGTGCCGTAATCAGAGCACGACGAGAGTGCTCTAGCAGAAGGAACGATGGCACTCACAGGAGAGCACACCCAGTTTATCTCGTCTAGCCAATCCTGGGCCAAGGCGTCAACGCCGCTGCAGCCGGGGGAGGCAAATTTAGAAATGAACCTAGGAACCTGGGCGTTGTAATGCGACGCAAACCGATCGATTGTGTGAGGGCCCCATTTTGCGTCAATCACCCGAAATACAGAAGGGTTGACGGACCAGTCATCTTTGTCAACAAATCTGCTGAGAAGATCTGCCCTTTCAGTAAGCGACCTTGGGATCCATCGCGCTTCCAGAATGATGCTGTCAACAAGAAGGAGATTAAAAATGTCCATGGCCAGAGCCTGGAGATTAATTTTGGAGCTTCCGATAGCAACAATTTTGGCGGCGCCCTGATTATCAGTAAAGATTTTAACTCTCTTGTGTTTCAATTGAGCAACGTAGGAAAGCAAGTGACAAGAAATAAATAGCTTTCAGTTCGCGGAACGTAGAACTTTGGCCGATATACTTGGGTTGCCACATGCCGCTGACAACGCTGCCGTATAGAGAAGGTGAAAAACCTCCGAAAGCTACATCACTTGCGTCGGAAAACACAACGGTATGGGTCGCTAATGTTGGCCCTATAGAATAACCGTTGAGGCAATCGATGTTGCAGTACCAAAATTTGAGCTTGAGTAGAAGACTGGGAGAAAAATGAATGGTGTTGTCCCATGCTGACCTGGTTTCAATGGCGAAGTACATCTGCCTGGTCAAAAGACAAATATCGGGCCGACTGCCAAAGCAACTGGACTGATAGTACCAGTGATTCTCGCTAACTCACGGAATGAAGAGTACCCCGCTTGAATCGCAGAATCCAACAAGCCCTTAAGTTTGGAGACTTTCTTCTCTGAAATTTCCTCGTTACAAAGAAGACCAGATGAAGAAAGCTCTTTGCGCTGAATTAAGCTTGCTGCCGTGGCGGAACACTTATCAGGTTGACTACCGAAACTGTCGTCTAGATAAATGAAACTTGTGTGCCCCATAGAACGCCAGCGTCTAACTAACGGGCGCATCAACTTAGTGAAACAAAAGCAGGCACTTCCGAAAGGAAGAACTGCAAAGGTATAATATCTAACAACGCCGGAAAAAGGCTAAGCAAAACCGAGATACTTTTGGCGATCAAGACAAATATCAGCATGATGGTAGCCGGACTTAAGGTCCCATGCGAAAATCCAGTGTCCTTCATTCAGAACTTGGGATAGCGAGCGCAAGTCTTCATATTTGAATCTGGGTTTAACTAAACAATTGTTGACGTGCCTGAGATCAACAACAAGACGCAACTTCTTTCCTTCCGCGACTGTTAAAGGATTCACGCAGAACGGAGGAACGACATGCTCAACAATACAACCATTACTAAGAAGCTCGGTAATTGCTTTGGCCACAAATTCTGGATTCTGAAGCGCAGATCTGTTGTTCTTTAGAAAGCACTGTGAGGGATACTGGGCAAAAGGTAAACTGTAACCACGCCTAACCATGTCAAGCACAAAATCTGAAGCATCTAATGCTTCAACCCAAAAGTTAAGCGAAGACCTCAAGCGACCTTTGACGCCATTGCTACCGCCTTTAACACTAAATTTGTCGCTACAGGAAGACAATAAATCTAAAAAATTCGCACTCAACTTGCAGGGCATCAGCATTATCAGTGGTCAACAAACCGCCCTCTAGTCAATCACGGCGAGCGCTACTCTTTCAAGTGTCCGCAGGTTTCGTGCATGTCAAGCTCAAATGACCAAAACCTCCACACTGAAAAAAGGGGAACACACAACGGCATGAAAATAAAATCCAAAGCATAAAAATAAAAGAACAGTGGAGTAGCGTGTGGTGTTAGCAGACCCGAAGGAAGATCACTAACTGACAACAGCTAGATATACGACACGCAATTAACGCGTATAGCGTAATTGAAACACCTTATTGTCTAACACAATAGACTGCCAAATACAGAACGTGCAGAAAACAAATATCTGCTAAACGACGTACCACAGATATTTCGATATTCTGCACTAACCTAGTCTATAGAACGACATACAGCAAAACAGCAATTCATGGAAAATATTTGATTATGGCCTGAGTGTAACGCCATAATCGACGAGGTAAAAACAAAGCCAGTATAACGAGAAAGAGTGGGCTACTTATCTGAAAACAAGGCCCCAAACGACGAGCTGGTCTAGCTTCCGAACAAGAGGCCAAATCCTTAGACGAGAATCTCGACGAAGAAGCCGCGCGGATTACAGAGGAGGAACCGCTTCCTTTCTCGTCAGAACGGACACGACGACGCTTCTCTTTATTTGTTTTTCTCCCGGCTCTCCTCTCGGCCCGGTAAATTCTCTTCTCGTCGTCGAAGTCAGAGGCGAGTTCATCAGACAAATATTCGTTAACGGTCACCCATCCATATTCGCTCTCGTCAGCTAGCTTAATGCCTTTAACACGCTTGGAAACTAATTCAGTACCTGACTCCAGGGCAACTTTAACTTTCTCGTACAATTTCTGCTTGAGAGCGTCGGATGCTTCGTCTAGTTTATCCATCACTTGGAGGGAATGATCCAACTGCTGTTGGTTTCCTTTCCTTTTGCAGGTATATTGTTCGCACCGAGCTCTATTGACTGCTTGTTCAACGGACGAGCTATTCTCTTCGGAAAATCGCTTCGTGAAATCGCTAAGCCTAGATTCAATAACCTTGGTGAGGTTATCGGTTAAAGAACCCATCGATTCAGAAACGGCAGACCGTATAACAGCACCGACAGAAGGATCTCAAACTCCATCGTTCCGACTAGAACGTGCCCTAGCTTCCTCAGAGTCGCTCATGCTAAAGAACATTGGAGTAGCGTGTGGCGTTGGCAGACCCGAAGAAAGATCACGAACTGACAACAGCTATATATACGACATGCAATTAACGCTTATTGCGTAACTGAAACACCTAATTGTATAACACATTAAGAATACAAAATGCAGAACGAGCAGAAAACAAATATCTGCTAAACTACGTAACGCAGATATTTTGATATCATCTGACGAGAACAAGTACCTTGACCGTGTTTTTTCCAAGAACAACTATAACGAATACTTCATCCGACGAAACACTCATCGACCTTAACTACTACTTCTGAAGCTAACGACAACGCAACTCCTACGACTACAGCAATTATACCGCACATAAAGGGCATATCGGAGAACATCTCGCGCATCCTACAACCATTCAATATCCGCGTCGCTCACAAACCCATTATCAAACTACGTCAGTTACTGACTAACGTCAAAGACCAAGACGAACCAAGGAACAGACAGGGACCAGTTTATAAGATCAACTGCTCCGACTGGCACGCCTCCCACATCGGTGAGACTGGCAGAAATCTCACAACCAGACTGACCAAACACAAACGGGCGGCGAGGAAAGGCGATGTCAACAATCACATTACTGAACAACACCGACTTACGATCCACACTATTGACTGGAACTCTTCTGGTTTACTAACTTGGAACTGACTCCCTTCAGCAGGTATCAACCACTACCTGCACCATACAAACGACATCCATGACATTAACATTACGAACGAACCGAACAGAACGACCTAACTTTACTATAACAGATCGAGACTGACCAATCACGACCGACCCACGTGAGTCTTACAGCCAATAACATCCCGGCAAAACCGACCAATCAGTTTATACAAACCGGGCTAAGAACATTCGACTGACAACAACTATTCACTTAACTCTGAAGATGACTTCCACTCAGGTTGTCGAAACGTCAGTCACCACTACCGACAACAGTCCTTCTCAGGACTACACTCACCCGGACGATCAAACTACACTATTACGAGAAATTCTCTCTTGGTCACTCACGGGAGTCAAAGGGTTAGCATCAATATCCATATTCTCTAGACTCTTCACTATAAATTTCCATCGTTACTGATGGGGAGAATTCATGTTGTAATCAGAGCGTCTTGAGTTGGCAATCTTTTTGTTATTCTGATGTTCTCAATGAGTGATTCAGCAATATTACTGGAGGGAAAACTTACATGCTGACTACCCTTGGGGGTAATAGGGTTAATTAAGCAGAGAGAACCAAATTAGTCCATTGTTTCACTTGTAAGCCATGCTGTGTTCCCTATTTAACAGGACATGTGTACAAAACATGGTCCAAAATTACCACAAACATCACTTATTTCAAAGCCAAGAGTAATATTCCACATTGGAGTAATATTTGAATTAAGTATTGGCAATTGTAGAGTTCTGAGAACTGTCTTTGATAATTAAAAAACAAACTCACGGTCTGATGAAATTGGTATTCATAAACAAAGTAATAGCTAGCTCACCTGATTGTAACATAAAGAAAACCCAGCAAGGACCCAACCAGTCTGTTGTCAGTTGTCAGGCAGGCAAAAAATGGGTAGAACAGGATCCTGTATACAAGAACAGTGACAATAATTATTCTGAAAAACTAAACAAAACAGAGGAATTTTTTTTCTGCTTGCTCATGTTGAATGCTGGACTGCTGTGCAGGTAAAGGGGGTAAGTCATAAAGAAACTATGATGCTACGACAGTGGGAGAATATAACAGGGTAATTTAGTATTATTAACTGAGTTAATAATGTAAATTGGCCACTGTGTTGAGTTTAACAGCAGACATTTCAAGTGCAATAGCCTTTCATCAGAGAAATTGTAGGAATTGTGGGTTGTGTGTGTATTTATATGCAGAAAATGGAGCTTTGTTATTGGTGGGAATATGGAGATGAGAAAACAAGAATAAATTAGCTGAATGAAAAGCATTCGTTGACAGCATGTGGCTTAAGAGTGCCTGTTTGAAAGATAATTTTTGTTCTGGAGTTTTGCGGCCCTCCAAACTGCCTCATATAGATGTATAAGGAAAGGCAGCAAAGTAATGAATGTGGCTCCCAGTGTGGTCATCTGGCCTTGTTATCATTTATAGAGGCCCACATTTAAACCTGCTTTTCACAGCCAAACTGAGCCAGCCCATCTAAATATTCCAAATAAATAACTTAATATCAAGTTCACACCCACATCACAAAGGGAGGCTAGGTGCCCAAGGGGCCCAGGAGCTGCAACTACAGTCACACCCCTAGGTGCTAGAACACCCAACTGGCCTACCCAATGTTAAAGTGGCAGCTTGCAGAAATAGACCCCGCAAAAGAAACCCTGCAGTTAGGTTTGAGGGGAGGAAACACCAAGAAACGTTATCCTCAAGGACAAGAATCCCATGCTACAGAGCAGCAAACACAACACGGGCACATGGTGGAACAATACATGCACTGATGAGGTATACTGCTGGATGAGGATGGCCCAAAGGCCCTAACATCAACAACAGTACTGCTGCAAACTCTGCAGAACACAACAAATACTGGCTGAGAGACAAACCAAACACCTGAAAACGCTACTGACCATACATGTATTTGCTTTTTGTCATTTAAACTGTTTGTTAAATTCCATATAGCTATATTAAAATTTGTTCATAAACTAATACTGGCCTAATTGGCAACTGAGTTTACCTATACCTACTAGAGTCTCTAAAATGATTTTAACAGTGAGAGAAACAGAGCAAAACAAAACAAACAAACACTCAACTTATTCAAAATCAGGTTGCCAAGGTATGACCACTTACCCTGCACCCATCCAGCTGGGTCATGCAGGCATCTGAAAAATTCCATTTTTTAGTTGTAAAAACATACTCAGGCATGTGCTGGAAGTGGCTCCAAACATAACAGCAATGGTGAATCTGTTGCCAAAATCACTTAAAAAATCAAATGGTCTGAAAAGAAACCACACAAACATTGGTAAAACAGTGGCACCCAAATAGCTCACTTAAAAATACACTCCCATTAAACCCACTCAATAAGGGAAAGCTTCATATTATTACACCGTGTTCATATTCTGACTGAAATGGCATAATTTCCTGATAGATCAGGCGTGGGGGAGTTTTTAGGTCAATTTTTGATGCATATATACAGCTGGCCTCTCAGAATACCTGCCCCATCATAGTCTACCCTGTGGCCAGTTATAAACCTCATCTGCTAAATGAGTCATTTTACGGGAAGTGTTATTTTTGTGATCCCATCTACCCATGTGTTGCTGGCCTCTCAGAATACCTGCCCCATTATAGTCTACCCTGTGACCAATTATGAAACTCATCTGCTAAGTGAGTCACTTTATGGGAAGTTATTTTTGTGATCCCACTACCCATGTGGTGCTGGCCTTTCGGACCCCCATTATAATCTATTCTGTGGCCAACTATGCTAATTTCACTTTACCAGAAATGTAATTTTGTGATCCCAGCTTAGCTGATTTCTGTTTATAGATGCATCTATCTAGCTAAAACCAAGTCTTTTAAGTAGGTCATGATCCTAAAATGAAGCAACACATTTGTTTACATGAATTTAGAACACTTTACTTTTCATCTTCAGTGCATTAACATTCTGGTACATTTCAATCTAATTTGAACCTTCCTGTTTGTAAATCCTTATTTTGATGTAGGAAAGTTTTCCAAATCATGAAAATGTATTAGTCCCCACTCTTGTTACTCTACTGAAAATGTAACCCCATTATAGTTAAGAGAGTCGTGAAAATGCCACCCAAACCAGCAGCACATCCCCTTGCCTTGTATTACAAGTAGCAACTTTTTCGAAAAAAAGTACATGTAGCTGGGTGTCACTTAGACTTAGGTACAACTACTTAAAAGTACACAATGATTAGACTATATGTTGCTTACCTTCAATATAAGCCTTGACCTTGCTCCATTAATCAATTCTGTACTCACATCAGCAAACCAGGATATCCATTGCAGTTTTGAAGTCCAGATTTGACCCTTTGCTTGAAAAAGGCCAGTATAAAAATAATTATGAGCTTAAAAATAATAACACATGTAATAATAATTATCAATCGGGCAAACATGAAATTACAGGTGAAGTTTTAGCAAAACAGCATCACCTTTCAAACCTTCTGACCAAACCCCGGGGGGAGGGGGGCACTTATTCCAGAGGGGGTGCTTACTGGAAGGAGGGCGCTAAATCAAATCATTGCAACATGTAAACAATTTTGTTGTCATTATTTCATGAAAGTTACTTCAGAATTTCACTTACAGCTGGAGGAAGACAGCCAAGATCAAACAGACTCTCCTTGATAACTATGGGGCACCTAAATTGATAATTTATGAGATTGAAAAACTGTCAACATATCTCAAAAAAAAAAATTACAAAGATTGATTTGGATTAAAATAAATTTGTTACATTTTTAGGATTCAAGAAGAAAAGACAGCTGTTACAGAACACTAAAATTCATGCTGGAATGGAAAATTAAAAAGTCAATACATGATAATACAGAAAAAGGCAGGATCAAACTGTCTGGCACAGACACCCCAACTTTCAGCCCACATTCCCCTCACCTTCTGTCCCAATTTCAAGTGTGAAATGAGAAAGACAACAGTACTTATTTCCAGAAAAATAAAAGAAAAATTAAAAATAAAAAATTGAAAGAATTCCTCATACAATTTCAAAAGAAATAACTAAACGAGGCCTTCTCTAATTTAAGACATGGAACAGAATGAAAAGGAAGATCTGTAATTTTAGAAAGAGAGATTTTCAATTTGCAAAGCAAGAATCCGTGTGGAACTCCACTGTGCGGAAGGATGAGAGGGTCGATTAGAAACCTCAAAGCCGTCGAAAAAATCATCCACAACCGCAAAACCGCAAAAAAGATTCGACAAGAACCGAAAACCGCATGCAAAGCAGTCAAAACCGATAAATGTTCACATCCCAGTTCTCAAAACCCGAATCAATCCGATACGGTGTTGACAACTGGAGCATACAGAGGCTTCGCGGCTATTCGAGATCAGTGGAGGCGCATTATGGCCGCTTGGATCGAAGAGAAAACGGAATCCAAATAGGACAATCCGAAAACTTCATCGGAAACCAAATCCGTAGCCCATTAGACAGGTGTTTTTGACGAAAACCGAAAACCAAATGCTAAAGAACGGAAAATCCGCAAACAGCAATGAACACCCAAACCGAAAAACCGAAATTCTTTAGCACAAAAACCGATCTTAAAAAAATATAGAACATCCCAATGCCCCCCTTAAGGATGAATCGGTCAGTTCAGTCTACAGATCATTCAAATGATAACAGAACGACCATTACTGTTACTGAAACCTCGACGAAAACTTTTTATTATTATTATTTTTCAATCAGAAACGTGCTGCAAACCAACTTTAGTCACGCGATATTTTTCAGGGAAGGTGTCTGATGTCACGCAATCGAATTATTCATCGACAACGAACATCGATGCTTGACACCTTGGAAATTGTACAGCTACAGCCTCACGGAATTTGAATTTGAATTATAGATTTGCATTTTAAGGCGAAATGGCGCAGTCCTTCCTATAAATATAGAAGAGGATTGATCTCTTCGCGAACGTAGTGAAGATTCAGCCAAGAACACCACGGAGATGTTCATATTTTCAGTTCGTTTCGTTTCGTTTGGCAATTTACAGTAAGCCCTAAAAAATTCCGGAGATATGGTCGACTCTAGTTTTACAACAGAGACTGAATACTTTGTATGACATAAGATCTTTGAAAGACAGGCGAAAGAGCAGTGTTACAAATGTTAACTCTTTAACTCAGTTGTATCCAATTCTGCGCATAAACTCCATCATCTGCTACCAGTCAAGTAGATACAATTTACAAACCAGTGTAACTCAAGTTTAGGAAAATGGGCGCTAGTCGTAACACGACCACATTTGTTCCATCCAAGTCCAATCGGTAGAACTTTCATACGTAGTTTTTTTTTTTCTATAGAGTCTTTTCATATTACAAGAAATTGTTTTTGAATGACAGAGTATAAAATATAAATTAAAACAACTTTTTGCAAATTTCATGCTGCGAATTTGAATATTTTTCAATAAACAAACGATATACCTCGAGGAGACGACAGCGCAACGAAAGAACCAAATCGCAGAACGAGCGGGCGCGAATCTGGGGCGCATTCATTCATGGAAATATCGACATCCACAACAGAGTACGTACCCCTGAGAAGTGTTCTCCGCGGATCTATTTGCCATTTTCAAAGCAATCTAGCAGGGCAACTGCACGTGGTTTAATCTCCCTCGTCTGACAGCTCCTTTCATTTGGTTCCGTGAATTCGAATTAGATTATGTTTATCTTATGACCTATTGTTTTTCTCGGAAAATTAGCGGAGGAGAAATAGCAGGAGTCTGGAAGCCAGCTAGGTTGGTGACCGCTGACTGAAGTACAGGAGATTTTCAAAGATGGCGCGAAATGTCGGAGAGTGATGTTATCACCTCACTATACTAAAATGTTTTGTTAGTTGTTTTAGTTCTCAGCGTCAGTCTTTTAACCGGTGTTTTAATTATAATTACATATTTTTCTACAGGATATTCGATCGTTCTTCGGTCCTACAAGAAAGACAGCGAAGCAAAGCGCTTCGAAAGTAGAAAACAAGCGCGGCAAGGATTCTACTGCGAAGTCATTAACGAAACAAGATGTAGGAAAGAGCCGAACGAAAACCAAGGTAAGTAATGGATTATGTAGCTTTTGAGAGAGAGAGCTATATGTCGTATCAAGGAATTCGACTTCAATGATGACGGAGAAAAGATCTGCCCATATCACAGCGCCTATCTGACTGAATCGATCATCATGTGTGTCTATAACACTCGGATGCAATTCACATTCCCACAAATCTTCTCCTGGGAGTGTGAGGTGGGGGGGACACCTTATTTCTCCAAAACTTGTATTTATTGCCACACATGGTAAAATTTCCTTTGTCATGAATCTTTAATTTTGCACATGGTAGGTAATTTTACAACATGTTTTAACTAAGAGTTTCATTCCACTACATATATCTAACCCAAGGTATCTTTTTGGACTGGAATGTGAGAAATGGTGTGGTACTTTGTGTTAACTAACTTTGTAGGTGTAATTTTCAATAGTCTGAGTATGTCAGGGTAGCTGAGTGAGGCTGATAAGTTACAATGTTTTGCCTTTTTTTTTTTATCCTAAACAGGGTTGTAAAATGAAGCAATTTTGTATTCATCCTTTAACTCCTAAGATCTGTTTGCTAATTCTCCCTTCTAGTTGCTACACATTTCCTTGTACATTTGTTATAGGAATTTGTTCTTAGATCAAGATAACAACTTTTTTCATAACCCTTTTGTTGGACATTGTATGGATAGTCTTGGGAGAAGTTACATGTTAATCACATCTGGGAGTTTAAGGGTTAAACAGCATGATGTGATACACTGCCACCTAAATTTCACTCAAGTTTGAAATATCTTGGACATTAGCATTCCCTGCAAATTTGTTCAAACTGCAGTTTATTTTTAGTCTGCAGAGCAGTTGCAGTATGTAATACTAATGCTTATTTCACAATTTTGACAAGTACTGGTAAATTTTCATTTATTTTGACTAAAGGTAAAATGAAATTGTTGATTAACTTGAAAGTGATTGAAAAACAAATCTGGAGACTTCACTTAACCCAGACTATTTTTTCCACAAACCTGGTGTCTTCCTTTGATTATCTGAGTTGAAAGAAAATGTTTCGTGAGAAAGTTGTGCTGCAAGGGACAACACCCCTCTTGATGCTATCCAATTCTGTTTGGTCTTTGTTGTTATTATTAGGTCCAAAGAACCATAATAATCTCGCATTTTTGTGAATATGTTATTGTTTATTGGCTGGGCAGGGTTTATCAAGCAGTGAAGATGATGACATTGTCCAGAAACAAAAACCAAAAGAAAATCAGAAGAAGAAGAAGAAAGGAAAAAACATTTATTGACTCAGGTAATGTTTTAGGATGAACACTAACAGTTTCAAAAGGAACAGATGTTGAGACTCTACACAAACTGTCATACCTCTGTATAAGTTTTAATGGTTTCAATGTACATGTAAGCTAGGTAGTTGTGCTGTATAGTGTCCTTGTCAATTCCCAATGCAATTTGCATTGTCACAAAAACTGTTGTAAAAAGATTCACATGATGATAATTATGTGCAACGTCACAATGATGTCTTGACCCTATTTCTAAATTAATCTTACATCTCTGTTAGATTCTGATGAAGATCCTCTTCCCCCAAATATCAGGTATGTGATTTGTTTCTTGAAATTTATTTTCCCTCTTATAAATTTACAGTTGCAGTTAAACTTTTGGACCCTAATATCACCCCTGAATCAAGAGTCAAGGAAATGATCACCAACTATAAAAGCTCTTGATTATTAAACAAATTCTCCTTGTCAGCACCTTGGAAAATGCATAGAGAACACTCTGTATGGAGAATATGGATACTGATGTCAGGTTGTATTCAGAACCTGGTTCTCTTTCACTCATCTCTGTTTCAGAAAAGCCACATCAGTAAAGAAGGAGGAGAGTTCAAAAGCTAAGAAAAATAGAAGACCAATCAGCTTGGACTCAGGTAAGGAAATGATGTGCACTTATTGAGGGTACCCTATACTTTTTACGTGAAAGGTGATTGGGAGATTTTATCTTCCCAGGAATCATGATAACATCTTTTTTAAATTTTTTTTTTAATTTTATAGGATTAACAGGTCAGAAAGTGTGAAAATATGAATTTGGTATAATTTTGTAATTTTTTTGGTTTTATTTATCTTAAAAATGTGACCATCTTGAATTTCATGTGAATGTGAAAAAATTTTGGATATTAATTTTTTCATAATGCATGAAAAGGCCCTATATTTTTATGTGACTGAGTTCTACAAAAGGGTGTCAGGGACTCTCCTTAATGATGGAGTGTGATGACTGGATAGGGAAAATACTTTGTGTGAGGTGAGCTTGAGGTAAGATGAGGTCAGTTTTTTTTACATCACCTGACCTTTAACCTTGCTGATGTATTTACTTGCTGAAGAAAACAAAGCCATCCACTTCATCCAGGGTTCAGCACACTTAACATTAGACCACTCTGCCTTGAATACATGTAGGTTTGAATATTATAGCACTTGAGTTATATTTTGATGTGGTTTCTACAGATGAGGAAGAAGCTGTGCCAAGCAAATTAAAAAAGTTTGCCAAACAGATAGAAAATGTCCAGCAAGTTAAAGAGAGGTATCCTCCATCATTCTCCTTCATTATATTTCACATTTCAGCACCAAACTATGGTGTTCATTTAGAACATAAGATATCTGGCTTCTTCTAAAATTATCCACCTAAATTTCATTTGTCTGTTTGTTTGTTTGATCTTTCCTCTCTTCCATCAGGCATTGAGAATGTTAGATCTGTCATAGAACACCGCTCTTATGCTGATACATCCACATGTATTCTGTTGACCCCTAACAGTGACCAGCATCTAATTTCTCCTTACAATATCATCCTTGAATCAAACATTAAGGTCATGAGAGTAAAGGAAATGATCACCATCTAAGCTCTGGTTTGTTAAACAAAAATTAATTCTCCTTGTCAGCACCTTAGGAAATGTACAGAGAACAGTATGGAGAATATGCATACTGAGTTTTAGGTGTTAAGGGTTAAAAATGAAAAACAAACAAACAACAGTGAAATGATAAAGACAGTGTTACACAGCCATCAAAAGTGAAGATAACACATAGTTGTTGTGGTACTGAAATATTTAACACATGGATTGTTATTCTTGCTTCAGTCCAGTCAAACCTAAAGAGAAAAAAGCAACTTCTGCTCTTGATTTCTTTGGTTCTACTCCAGTTGAAAGGGAATCCAGGAAAACATTTGCCAATAAGAGAAAACAGGTGAATAACTAACTACACTTGTTTCACCAACAATTTTTTTTACAGTAAAAATCAGGCATCCTGTGTATTTTAAACAGTACTTCACACATTGTGCATTATTTGAACAGGGAAAACTTTAAACCTCACCAGACCTTGCCTTTCTATAAAATTCATGTATCACATGTTAATTTTGGGCCCAGTCACACATCCCTTGTAAACCCTCTGCCAGTCTCTTATTCAGTAGCTATATCAGGATGTATGTACAACAGTTAACACATACCATGTCACAAAATTAATGGGTATAATGACCAGTGTTTGAGTCATGCATTATGTAATCATATTACAGGAATTTTGTAGGGGGGGGAGAAGAAAATAGTTTTGGCAAAAGCAACACCATGGGGCTCTTTAAAGGGATAAGTCCTTTCACCTCTAAGATATTAAAATCAACTCTCTTTACTGTCCTCACACAAGTGTTATGACAATATCTTAGAGAATATGGTGTTCAATCAATCGATATCCTCTTGTCTGATGATTTTCTTATTACATTGCTGTTTGACAGTGAATTAGTATTGTTAAGAGACATTAGAAAATTGATCACTCTTGAGAGGGCAAATTTTAAGCTTGATCCAGAGCTCAGCCCACTTAATGATTATACCTTGATTCCCTGTAGAACCATCAAGAATTATTTTTTGTTTTCATTTCCAATAGAGATCTGATGAGTCTGAAGGAAATGAAGACTCCAAAGTGAATAGAAAAGAAGAGTTAAAAAATGGGAGAGAAAAAGAAGGAAGAGAAAATGGGAATGTTAACCATCACACAACAGAGCAACCATCAAAGAAAAGAAAGGAAGACTTCTCAGAATCAAAGTCTGAGGTTAAAAAGCCTTCCCCTGAGAAGAAAAAGGTTTGTAAGCCTTTTGATTACCATCCTTTATTGTTGCAAAATTAATCATTACTATTAATGCATAAACCTGCTACCCTGATACTAGAATGGATTGGACCTGATATGATTGCATGTGTATGGTAAGTGTTATCAAGCACTTGAATAAGGTACTTGTAGATGAAACAGTGATATTTTGTGACTAAATTTGGCTCTGTATAAGATCCAAAAACTTACTCAAACATGTTAACTGGTGGTACATGTGCATGTTGTATATACATTAACCTGTCCTACTATGACAGTAGATGGTTTTAACTCAGATGCACATTACTAACAATAATTGCAACAAAACATTACTTACAATACTAACACTTCTCAAAATACTACAATTACTGTACCTAGAATTTATACTAAAAACAGTAACAATAGTCACAAAACTTTCAGTTACATTCTTGGTGACTTTAACTTTGACATTCTGGGAAGATGCTGCCTCTTTGTCTCCACTATTTAAAACAGCAGTGTCTTTCACCATCAACATTCCTATTTGGGACAACTCTTGCCTAA